TGGTGTAGCCGTGAAGTTGGTGTTTCACGAGATAAATGGCAGCCTTGTTTCCTCGGGGTCCTCAGCGAAGGGAAATCTAAAGGCCACAGTCAGCTGTTGCATAATATCACACCTTAGCAGGAATAACCACAAATCTCAGGCTTCTAAATCAATCACAACCGTCAACTGTGTTTGGCTGTCTTTGTAATTAATGCCCCCCCCCCCGAGTTAAGATATTCTGTCCATCCCGCTCCATCCCACTTTCACTGACAAAATGCATCAAATGTCAAGGGAAAGAGATTGGGAGAATTTCAATCATTTTTCTTTTATTTTGGTGAAAAATACTTTTCCCAGTAAGCTGGTATCTCGGTGAAGCGCAGGACACATGCATCATACCGGACTTGATCCCATCTATTTCTGTTAACCTGTTTTAGTGCTTCGCTTTTTGGGGGGGATTCACCTGAAACGGTTTTAGATTTCGTAGATGACTCATTTCCATCCTCACAGTGGTGAACAATGAGGTGATTAATGGTTTAATTGAGCAAAAGGAAATGAAATCTGCATAGATTTTTATTGTCAGAAGCTTTATACGATCTCTCGTGAACTGAATATCTTTGGTGGCTGCGGCCATGAAACAAAGAGATCTAAAGGGTCATCGGTGCCTCTGGGAGATGGTGAGGAGCAATTATATCATTCAGAGACAGTTGTCGGTTAGGCGTATTTAAAAAAAAAATCATTAGACGCACTCCTTCAAGATAATGTCTAGTGATCGAGAATTAAAAAATAAAACTAAGACTCAAATACTCAAATTTTATTGCCGTACAGGATTTATCAACAAACAATCAGGACAATCTTTGACACTACAAAATGTCAGTCCAATCACATAATACATAAGGATCTGGCTTCCGAATAGAATTTTGGTGCTGATATAATCTTTTAATTATAATTAAATGTCAGAAATTAAAGTGTGATGAGGAGTGTGCTGTAGAAATCTTCTAAAATTGGTACTGATATGCTGATTATCATTGCAAGAGAAAGGCGGATTTCCCTCCGGGTGGTGAAGAAGAAGAAGAAGACTGAGCTGCTGTGATTAGCTGTATCCTCGGTCCATCAGCAGCATTCACACCTGCCTCATCTGTGTAGAAAAGGAGGCGGTTTTCTCTTCGCTAACTGTTTACTCTGACGACTGCAGTCAGTTATTATTGTGAAGTATTCAGAAGTGGTGGGAAACGCTCCTCAGCTGCAGGCCCGGCTGAGCTGCTGCTTAAAAAAAAAAAGAAAAGAGGATGAAACAAAATAGGGAAGAAACCCGCGCATTCATGCCGCAGAGATCTGAGGGAGCGGAGGTTTCTTTCTATTGTGGAGTCTGACACAAACTGATATCAAGGTTGCTTTTTGTCTCAAATCCATAGTGAGGCAGCTGGCAATAAAGAGTTTTTCTTCAGCGATGCATGGAGGCGTATGAAGGCCTGAAGATTTACTCTGTCAAAAGTGTGCACATACTGTGGGAGAATTGTGCAGCGATGGGTAATACTGGGAGAGATATAGACCTACATGGTTTTGTCTGATTAATAATCCTTGCTTTGATGTTATAGCCTCTTACGTCCTCTTACTTTCATGGCAGAAAAGGTTGTGTGGAAATCGGCTTAGGGGGGTCACCTGGGACTTTTGCACCCTAGGAGATTATAATGAGCATATCCCACTTAATACACAACACGATCAATATCTTTATCAAGGCAGATAAATGAAGTAATACTACTAAATGAAGTATTACTTGATGTAACGATACATTACGTATAGAGACAGTTCCGGAGATGCGGTGCAGTGGTGCAAAGAAAAATGTTGCCGGGAATGACAGCAGCTTTCTGCAACAATTCAATAAAATTGATGTTAAAATTAGAACAGTGTCAACAACATTTTCCAGTCCGCGTTGACGTGCTGAAAAAGCGGATCCGTGACAGATGGCAGGCTCAATTGAGGGTACGTCACTAATTGTACTGCAGTTTTGTGTTTTTTGCTTCTCAAAAATAATGTACTACCCCCCCAGACCACATACAAATGTACCGATGCGTCCTTTGAGCGCCCATTTCTATCATTTTCTTTCTTTCGCTAGGAACATATTGGCAGCCTAGTCCTCGTCTGCAGCTTGAGCCTGCTCTCTCCAGTCGCTTTTCCTCAGGGCAGCATCCTCCACCTTCCTATTGATCCGCTGTGCAGCATCAACATGCTGGAGTGTCAATTAGAGAGCCTCTACTGCCCATCTGCGAGAGCAGAGCTGAAACACATCTATAAAAGTTTCCTCGGCTGGCTTCGCCATCCTCCAGCTGCTCAGTCTCAGAAGATGAAGAGGGGAACAATCTGCTGGAAAATAAATATATATGTATTTGAACTGGATATGTATCTTTGTTCGTATTTATAATGTTCCATTTGCAATATACTAATTGGACTGTAAAATGCTGAGGCCGTGGCTGGATGAGCACATATGGCTCGGTGGAAATAGCTGCTGTTTGTGGCGTTGCTACTTTTTTCAACCCCACTCTGCAGTATTCTATTGCACATCTTTCCGGATCAGGTCTTCATCATCACCACGCAGGGACTTACATAGACCTCCTATGCACACGCAAGGTGTGTACATAGGAAGTCTGCTTATCTTATCTCATAAGAATATCAATGTTAAGTCAAACCTCCATTACTCAAGTTGTCAAAACAGACATCCTGGTCGCGCAGAAGGTAAATATAGATTGTCAATTATTTAGTGACAGGTTTTGTCAGTTAAGCTGTTTCTGTAGATTAGACCGCTGTAGTTAGCATGGTCATCTAACAACACACCCTTATTTCCCTAAAGGTTGTTGTTTGGCCTTTTGAATGCAGAGTCTATACCGAGACCTGCTCTGGCACCCGAGGAAAGGTTTTTCTCCTGATAAGAGTTCCCAGTGATCCTGCAGCTGTCTTTGACATTTTGTAGCCGATAAGCATTTTTGTGATTTTTTTGGTCTGTGCATGACGCCGTTAAGGGCCGATATGTAAATAATGTGTAAATGCATTCTTTCCTCTCATTCAGCGCTCAAGAACCCCCCCCCCCCCAAAAAAGAGTAAGCACCTTGTTCACCGCAGTTCCTCAGAAAATCCCCAAACTGAGGGTTTACAGTGAAAACGTTGTTGGGCTACACTGAATGCTAATGTGTCGGTTTCCCGCTCAGTTACCACACGAGCTCTGAAAGGAGCCACATTAACCCAAGTGAACGCTTGAAATGTGATCGTTGTGGCTTCCACGGCGTGATTTCGAGCCACTCGCTCAGATTGGCTCGCTGTCTCCCCGCTACCTCTTCTTCCCAACAAACATGGCGTTTAATGGCATCTCTCTGGAGTTCTGCAGTCTCGTACGGCAAATTGTGAAACCCCTTCAATTTTTACAGCTGTATTTATTCATTGGTTCCTCTGTGCCGAGGTATGTGAGCGCTGTGATGCTAGATATGGTTTGTGTTTGGTTTACCGGGGGGGGGGCCGAGGTGAGTTGGCTGGCTTTGCAGTTGTCATGTGCTCTGCAGCAGTTAAAGCGAACCTGCAGTGAATCAAAATTACTTACTCAGTAGGAGATAGTCGGGTGTATTCAAAGGACCTTGTCACTTCCAATACGCTCCCAATGAATCTCCACCGCTGCCGATCCAAGGCTTCAACCCACTCCGTCGGAAAACCAATGTCTACAGCTCTATTATGTTGCTGCGTGCAGGGAGATTGTTCCTTCAGAACCGGTTTCAGCTTCAGGAACGGACAAAGTGAAGTGTACATGTGTACATACGTACGCGATTGCTTGCAGCGGTCTATTTTGCGTCTAAATGGCAAGCGGCTACGTATATATATCGCTCTATACAAATATATCTTTGACCTAAGATGAAAAAAAAAATCAATCGTCCGATCAGTATACACTTAAAATGATCGTTGGTTGCAGCTCTGGTGAGGAAGGCTGCGTCTGTCATCACAGGGGTGGAAATAAGGTTTTAGGTCTCTGCTTATCTGCGTCACCAGCGGCTTCGGCGCAAAATTTTTATATCCCTTGATGGGCAAAATTGCAAACGCCAGCTATGATCTCGTTGGTAATTCTGTCATTTTGAAGATGTTCAGCACCACATGCTGTGTGAATGGCTGCTTTGGAATAGAAAGTCAGCTCGCTTATTGAAGGGAAATCTGAAGGTGGGTATTTTTTCTTTTTGGCGGCTGTGGATTTAAAGCTGCCTTCAATCTTTAATAGCATAATTACAATTAGTTTGCTGTAGTCTTTTTTTTTGGCCCACAAGGCACCAAGTTGGACAAGCTTAAGAGACTCTGAGACCCACATAGGAATTATAATACAATATACGTAATTTATTTTGTCTGTGGGAGGCAGAAATATATGGGCAAGACGTCCATTTTGGCAAAAAGATCTAACTGAATAGTTCTGTAGCCTATTCAGTTATTTTGAACTCTTCATTTTTAAATCCCTAATGTTGTTGTTTAGCTTTGAAGTAGTAATATGGCAGAAACATTTTCCATGAAATACTCATTTCTTAGAAAAGCACCAACACAGAATCACGACCTCCAAAGTCAACGGCACAGTCTTCACAAAATCACAAAACCGTCCCTGTCCTTTTTCCCCTTCATTCCAAACCCGTTTAATATGAAATCAATAGCAAAAACAGGAAACGTAATAGTCAGAGAATAAGCCGCCCTGTTAAGATAGCAGCTGAGCACATCCACGGGCAAGGTTGATGGGAGAAGATGGATGTGGCTCTGACTCTCTCAGCCCTCTCAACCTTCAGTGTCCATGGAAACCTTTTGAATTCAAAATGGTAGGCGTAAGAAGACTAAATAAGAAAAATAAACGAGGTTGGGAGCAAAACTGTCTATCCTTTCCACACTGCACTTAAGCACAAAAAAAATACTTAGTGTATTGAATAGCTCGAACCAATACAAATCCCATCGCCTCCTCTTTTTTCTATTTTAGTTGTGCATTGTCTCACTGTCTTCTCTTTTTCATCTTTCAGGAATTGGCTCTGAAGCCCGTGGACCCGAGCAAGCCTGAGGGCTCTGACATATACCAAAATCCCTGCCCAGGGGAACAGGGGAGATTAAAAACTTCTGATTGAGGTGGAGTGGAAAAAAAGACACAAAGAGAGAAAGGGAGAGAAAAAGCTTTCCGTTCACCTTTGTTCTCTCTAATGCCCCAAGTGAAGGATGCCCACAGGCAAGTCTGTGAATAACAACAAACGTAAGAGCAGCTGCCCACCGCTGTGGTCGGACGATGGAGTGAAAGACGAGAAGAGGGCAGGACTGCACCCCTGTGAAATAGCCGTCCTCGTATTCTAAATTAATTGAATGACAGGGAGCGAGGAGAGGCATGAGAGGAAGCCTCTTCCGTGCCAACCGCTTCGAGAGGCATCGCGATCAACCCTCCGGCCGTCCTAAAACAATACCCGGCTTCTGCCCTCCTCCGATTGCCCGGTTCGGTTGCACCGCGTCGCCGCGCGCTCGGGCCGCGGCCATGTTTCAAGCCCCGGTGTGCAAACCGGATTGGAGCAGGCAAACTCTGCTGCTGCTGCTGCTCCTCTGCAGCGCCCTCAAGGCCGCTCAGGCTGCCAAACCCAAAGGGTCGGGACAAACGCATTTGAACTCCATCCGCATCGACGGGGACATCTCCTTGGGCGGGCTCTTCCCAGTGCACGCCAGGGGCCACGACGGCAAGCCGTGCGGGGAGCTGAAGAAGGAGAAGGGCATCCACAGACTGGAGGCCATGCTCTTTGCCCTTGACCGCATCAATAATGACCACAACCTGCTGCCCAACATCACGCTGGGGGCGCGCATCCTGGACACCTGCTCCAGGGACACACACGCCTTGGAGCAGTCGCTCACCTTCGTGCAGGCTCTGATCGAGAAGGACGGGACGGACGTCAAGTGCGTGGGCGGGGGAGCGCCGATCATCACTAAGCCTGAGAGGGTGGTGGGCGTCATCGGCGCCTCCTCCAGCTCCGTCTCCATCATGGTGGCTAACATACTGCGCCTGTTCAGGGTAAGACCTCCACGTACCTTTTATTTGTGTGTTTGAAATGCACAGAACAAAGAACGGGAGCTGTGTTTGCTGTTGAATATCCCCGCAGACACGTGTGCCTCTGATTTGTGTTGTTTTTAATGCTATCGATCCTCACCCTCATATATTTGTTTAAATAATTAAAAGCGCTGGGCTTCAAAAAAAGGAACGACAGGAGTTGCAGAACAGGTGTGCTGGATGTCTGTTGCCACACGACGGACACTTAAGGGAGAAGATGGGATGGTGGAGCTCAACACTGACTGTTGCCCTGCAGGAGTTGGTTGCTAAGCAGTGAGAGGTATTGCCTGTCACAATACAGAAGGGATTAATAGAATACGACTTAATTTCATTTTCACCCCTTAGCCAGTCTTACATCTGCTTACAAGGTGGAGAAAATATGTTGCGTTCATGTACATTTGATGAAATATTTAACACATGTTTGATCCAGTGAAATCTTTCTACTTATGCTTTTTCTTGTTGTTTACTGCACGACTCACTGCAAAATAATACTTTTTATGAATTGCTGTCACGGGTCTGCAACAGTTTCATGGGTAATTAGACCTTTTAGCACAGATATTACTCAAATACTTTTTTTTTCTTAGATAACACTCAAACTTTAAAACCAGCTTCAAAATATATTACAGAACCTCTGTGCTCTACGTTTCACCTAAAAAGCCATTTTGAATCCTCACTAGAGAAAACTCGCTGTGATGTGATGTTCTGGGTGGTCAGCTGGTGGCTCAGTCACATGACTATGCCTATTGCCGACCGAGGTTAGCTGAAGGATCAGCTGTTTTGTTGTCCCTGCACAAAGCAAACTAAGATAACAACATGGCCGCTTACCAAGTGTCAGCTATGACTGTCTTTTTGATGAATTAATAATTTGAGTTATTGAGCTTTTCTTCCGTTCTTTGATTACTTTACTCTCTTTGGTGATAATAAATTCTATCTTTAAGGTTTTTACAATGTCCACTTCTGCTATTCTCTGAAATGTTATCAAACAAAAAAATGACTGTATTAATCCCGGCTGCTCATTTAATCATGAAAATAATCATTAGTTGCATTCATGAATGATGGAAATGGAAGCTGGGGGGCTGCATGTCATGTTTTCTCATCCTTGTGTCTGCTCGCCCCTTTGAAGCTCTCTGTATTTAATACTGAATACTACACTCTCAAACCAGAACCGACCCTGGCACCGCTTCCACCGCGATCAACACTAAACCAATGCCTTGCTGGAGAGATGCTCTGCAGTGTGACAGGAAATTATCACTGTGGTACGATTAGTATAGCACTTCATGGGCAGGGGAATCCTGGCAATTTTCACTGCTGATGATCACGGTTGATGCGAGCATAGTGAGTCATGAGGTAAAACACGATTTCGCATGTTTAAGGCTGTGTTGTCGCATCGATGTCGTCATCAATGACAGGAATACATTGGTTTTACATGTGAGTCAGCGTCGTTCCACCGGTGATGGAAGGACACGCTATGTGATAGGCGTCACGTAGCTCCAGATGTTGGTCATGTGAAGAAAAGGCCTTTGTTTCTTTCTCAGTTTTTCAGTGGAATGTGAAAGATTTGACGTCTTCTAGCGGCGAGGATGCAGATTGCAAACTGGTTGCAGAGTGTCACAAACCGAAAAGCGTGCAACTTCCTCGAGGAGATCCCCAGCGAAAACCGCCCCTGGGCGTCTTTCACATGTTCTACGGTATTGTTGTTCCTTTCATGCACGGTCGAGCATGCACGGACTCTACACGTCTTCATGTCTCACATTTAGAAGATGCGTGTGTGCACTCTCACTCAGGTAGGAGTCGACGCACAGTAATGAGCCTCTCCAGCAGCGTGTTCTTGATTCCTCTCTCACATTATGCGGCGTAAATCCTTCGTCATTAGCGCACAGTTCCTTCCCTCTTCATTAATGCACGTCAGCGCCGTCCTTGCAGCTTTAATTTATATTTCTCTGATGATGTTGTTTTTTCTTCATCCTGAACGTATACATTAGCATTCCCCTCTTCTTCCCTTTTTTTTTTTTTTTTTTTACATTCAGACAGCTGGAGGACGAGAAAGCCAGCAGGTCGGGTGGATCCACATAGTGAGATTTCATTTCTGCTCATCTTCCATCGCCTGCTTCATCAAGCCGCTGTATTGAAGGTCAAACACTTTTCAAGATAGTCGCCGATCAATCAACATCCACTCTAATTGAATAACGGTCGTTACAACAACCAAAAAAGAGAAAAAGCTCCTGACGTGAAGTAAAGCGATCCGGCCTGTTGTATAGATTAAACTGTAAACCTTTAATGGAGAGTGGTGTGTGGTCATTTAGGTGGAGTCTTGAATTACGGCTTCCCAGCAATCCATGTCAGGTCAGCCAGAAGCCAGCTGGCTCCTTATGGAGCTGCAGATGGTCCCGGCAGGTAACCGACTTATCTTTACGACCGTGTCATAAAATGCCGGTAAGACGCGATGCGGCAAGCGGAAAGAAGAGGTCCAACCCCCGAACACCACCGCTGCTGCTCGACATGAATGTTTGCTTTGAATGGAGGCAACGCACGCGCTCGGGTACAACCGCAGCATACCGATGAAGAGCGGGAGGACCCCTCGGACACGTGCAGGCATGCAGATTTCTGTAGAGGCACACGCGTACTTTGCACAACTGTACCACTCAAACACGCACCGCGTCTGTGAACACGCCAGCGTACGCGAGCACCTACGCGCACAAACCACTTCAGAACGCGCCATCGGCGTCGGCCCGCCTGGTGTAGTTAGCGGGTTTACCGAAAAGTGTTTCCTCAGCACTCCGCTGCATACAGATGTGGTCCAGATCAGCATGATGAATATTTCACTCCGACCTTATGTAATGGTAACACAGGGACCAGGAGCTGGAGGTGGAGACCATGTACGCGTGGTTTGGCCGGAGCTGGGAGCCGCCGCGACGAGCAGTTGGGGGGAAAAAGATCATTCGTGACCACAGTGGAGATATGTGCGATGATTACATTATGCATTTGCACGGCAGACGCGCATCACCTACAAACATGTTGTACTACCGGGCCGGTCCCTCTTGACTAGTAAAACAGAAGTCGATTCTGACAAGGATTTCGTTTTTCTCCAAATCAACCGGATTTGAAAGGTTTGGCTGTTGTTATGAATTTGTTTCCTTCGCTGATGCACAATTGGAGCAGAACAGAGAGGCAGTGACCCGGGCATAAGAAGAACAAAGCCTTGTCGCCTGCACTGCTCAATGGAAAACATTTTGGCGGGTTTCTTGTTTTGACAGTGCAGTTCACCGATGGCTGGACAAAGCATCTCGCATGCACCGAAGTGGCGAGTATGAGTAGTAAAGGGGACTATTACAGAAGAGTAAAAAAAGGCTTTATTTAGTGGAAGGAAAGACGAAGGGAAATATACAATTCATGCAAGAGCACACAGGCCTTCAGCATCCCACTCATTCTGGCATTTTCCCTCAACCCCTTGTTAATGCCACAGAAGCTGCGTAATTGTTAATGCACCTTCATGTTGTGTAGAAAACTGTCTTATTATGGCAAATCATCTACGCGTCCCAGAGGGTCCTAGAGTGTCCCAGAGGGTCCCTTTTTTCTCTTTTTTACATTTGATCTAGACCCGCACTGCTACTGCACCACTTCACCACGGCATTGCTGTAATTGGTGTTTGGCAGTAAAATTTGTCTCAACCCTTGTGGGTAAGTTAAGCGCTTCAAACTGTCAACAAAAAGTAAAGCAAATAACATTTAGTGTTGAATAAACACTAAATGCAATGAAAAGTTGATTAGGGATCGCCCCGAGCTGCCATTGGAGTGTTATTTTCTCATGAATTCATTTTATACATCGTAACATTGCAAAGAAAAGCACGTAAATAGTGAACTACGGTGTTGAATAAAACATTTTTAAGGCAGACTAGCGGATGGGAATGTACTGGCTATTATCTACTATAAGCTAATAAATCAAGCCGGAATCAAGAAGAAATACATGCTGTATTTTTTCAGCCTTTCTACTGTTGGATGCAGAGAACAATAATATACCCTGTAGTTCCAACTATAGACGCTAACTTCCTCTTATAGTTCCAATCAGATCCTCAGTCTGAAGTTGCTAATTGTTTTTGCCACAAACGTTCCTCATTCACATTAAGGTCAGTTATTCAAAAGCTGCAATTACCAGACGGCGGTGGAGGTAAAAGCTATCAGTGTCGATGTGACTCAAAGTGAATGCGAAAGCCGCCCTCCAAGCGCACTGTGAGCGCGATGGCAGATATCATTAGCAGTTGACAGTTTCTTTTCATGATCCCTCGAGTGGCCGAGCCGATCCGTTCCGTTCTGAGGCGGGTTTTTTTTTTATGGTCAGAGCTCCGCCACATCCCTCTTTCCCGAAGGTGTTCGCCATCTGCTTCCTTGCCATCTCTTTTTAGCGGGATAATGATTATTGCCCCCCAGGGGATCCGCTGCTGCGCTTAACATTCTCGCTTCTTCACCTCGGCCCACAAAGTCCGAAGTCGCCGAATAAAAGAGAAGCGATAATTTCCCAAATTTGCAACATGTTGCCCCGTTGGCACATCAGGGCTCTAAACGAATGCACACCGGCGCACCGAGGACGGGGCCGCAGGGAGCAATTTGAGGTTCAATATCTTGCCCGAGGACCATCGGCCATGCGGACTGGAGGAGCCGGGGATCAAAACTGGGATCTCGCTAGGAGGACGACGCGCTCTGCCTCCCATCAGACATTGGGAGCTGCGCTCGAAAAACCTCAGTCAAAGCCTGCAATGCAAAAAAAGAAAAAAGAAAAAATGAAGGAAAAGGACATTTGTTACAGCTCGCAGGCCAATGCCCAGCCACTACTTTGGTAACGGGAGGGAAATGCGGACGTTTAATCGGTTAGTCCAGTTGACACGCAAATCCCTACAAGCAAAACATGCAACTTGGCCTGGGACTGGACTGGTAATATTGAACACAACACGCAGCGTTTCACCTCCTCCC